CGACAGGACCGGAGCCAACGGCCTGGACGCCGAGGCGGCGAGCGGCGAGCAGCACGGCCGCAGCAGCACGTTGATCGCGGTAAGGGGCCGGGCCCGTTCCCAGTCGGAGGCCGGGGTGGTTGGGGCCGGGGAGGGAGCCGGCAGTCGGCGTGGTTGTGCCCGGCTGGCACCGTGACCTCTCCTCTGGAGCCGGCAGCGGATGGAGGAAGGAAAACACGGTTGGTGGGAGGGCTGAGGTTGGTGTTGCTTTGCGGAGTACTCGCGTCTGCTCTGTTACAACTCTGCGGCTGATAAGGGCCGGTTTGTTTTCTCCCTTGTCAGTTTTGCGCGCTGGAGGAGGACATGAAAACTGCTGCCTGTTGAGGCAGGAATAGGGGGCGGCCGCCTGGGATGGTTACAGTCGTTCGGAGTAGCGTTCTGTGGATTATATTTCTGCTTAATTCGCCTAAAATGTCCCTGCAGGAACTGTCAGAGGAGCATTAATACTGCGTTGGCTCTGGATTTTTTGTTTGCTTGCTTATGTCTTTAATTTAGGCTGTTAAGATTTAGCGGAGTCACTTGATAAGGATATGCTTATTACTGAGGGGGAATTGTTAAAATAAATAATGTGTCTATTAATTATGGTACATATTGGAAAGAATTTCAGTGGAAAGGCAGCTGCTTATTTGCCACTCACTCCAGTGGGTGTGAACACTATGGGAATCCCGCTCCACCCATTAAAAACTGGCTTAGCTCAAAATCTGAATGTTTCTCTGGCTTCTCTAGCATTTCTGGTTGTCAGGCTGTATTCATACAGCCCTGTTTGTACATCAAGATAGCTATTGCTTAACTTATTCTGAGCCCTTTAAATATACTGCTGTGTACTAATGTGTGTCAGTAATGTAGGTTAGTAGGATAACCTCTTAAAGGTTGCCTGTCTTAGTATCTGTCCTTCTTAAAGCAAGGTGTTTCTAAATGGTGGCCTGCATGAAAATGATACAGTTCTGTTTTGAGTGCCTTTTAAAGGGGATACTGGATTCACCTGAGACGTTTCCAGGTTAACATATAGATTAAATCATATTCTTAAGGTGGTGTGTGTGTTTGATAATGTCAGAAGCAAAGGAGGATGTGATCCCCTTGGACCTCATTTAGTTAGTTTTTAAAATGGAATTGTGGTGGAGCGTACTGTATGCTTGGGTATGATTGGACGTGATGTGAAATAGCGAAACGCGGGGCACAGCGATGTCAGCTTTTCTGTAACTAGCACTAGGCAGCACGTGCGCAGTTTGTAGTATGTACAAGATGAACTGAAAATATTATTCAGCTGAATTGTTTCTCTTGCTAATATACATATGAGAATCTAGGACACGCTGAATTTCTGAAGATACTTGTGATACAGAGCACTTCAGATGGTCGTTAAAGAAGGATTCTTGAGGAAAAGAGGAGACCTTGTGCGTTCCTGACAGTGATTCTGCAAAACTTTCTGGGTAGCTGCTGTTTAGTAGTCTGATCTTGAATGTAAACTTGTGTCACAATGAAAATGACTCAAACACGTATTTTATCATATAAAGACTTGGTGGGATTTTTATTTATTTCCTGTCTGAGCTCTAAGGCTTTTTGCATATGGGGCTCTATCCATTAATGATGTGGGTTTTTGTTACACACGGAGCTCTTTAGCACATCAACTCCTGTTGCTTAAACTCCCACCGCAGGTCTTCATATTGATCTTCTAAAAGAAAGACGCCTTTAATTCATTGGTGGTGTTTCTTCTAAATTGCTTTGGATGTGGATTTGATCTAATTGGCATCCATTATAATGAGGACTCTCAACAGCCGTGAGGTTCTGAAGTACACTGCACATCTGGGGAAGCCCTTCTTGTACAGGAAGCTGCTGCCAGTGGCCAATTTACACAACAGAAGAGGGTTTTAGTGTATGAATGACTCTCCCTCGTGCTGGCCTGCTGTTTCCTTCCTAGGATGTAAGTAAGCTTAATTGCAGCTGCTGATTCATCACCTCGTTACTAGGGTATAAAGTTGGTTTGCTTAGTAATTCAAGTTTTGAAAAACAATGACAGAAAACCTCTGCTGCTAATTTAATTCCCTTGGCGTAAAAAGTACCTCTGTAGGTTGGTATTTTACCTCTAGCAATCGTGTAGCTGTTATCAAGACCAAGCATGTGCTTTGTATGGGAAGGACATGGGTTTGGTTTACAATATTCAATAAAGTTTGGATGAACACCAAAAATTATTTTGTTTTAAAGTATCCTGGACACGTTCCTTTCAAAAGAATACTGCCAGGTCGGTGAAACATGCATTGTGTCAGCTATCGCTGCTGTTAGGATCCAGAGTTTTCCATGAAGCTGCATATGAATTTTCTCTTTGGGTTTAAAGTTAATGAAGCATTTCTTTTGATTCTTGAAAGAGAAGGCAACTCGTGCAAAGGGTTTGTGATCTAGCATCAGAGGGCCCATGGCAGTGCAGCTTCACGCCGTTCTGCTGCAAGTGTGAGCGGCGCACAGCGTGCGCACTCCCAGACACTGCACTTCAGAGCGACTTCTGCAAATTCCAGATACTCACGGGGAACAGGATAGCCCTGCTACTTCCTCCTTAACGTCTCGTATGATTTTTCATGTGGCCAAAATCAGATATTTTCGCTTCCATTAGTCTGTTCTCTGTTGTAGATCCTGAAGGTGGATGGATCTTGCTTAAAAGAAGAAATAAAGGGCAGATTCCTTCTTTGTTTTATTACTAAGCAGCTCTAAAATTTGAGCCACAGAAACCGAGAGAATACAGTGTTGATATAGAAATACCTTACATGATTTGTGCGCTGTGTAGTCCCATCCTTCATTTGAGGAAAAAGATCAAAAACGTGTTAACTTCCTATTTTTTTAATTTTTAGACCATTATTTAAAGGAAAATTAAAATGTTGAAATTTACTTCACATTTCTGTTATTTAGGATGACGTTATTAAGACTAGAAGCTGCTTAATATTTGGATAGTGTATTGTCCGTTGTGTCAATCGTGTATTTTTGAGAAACGGGGAGATTGGGAAGAGGCAGGACTTGTGCCCTAGAACATTTTTCCCTCTTTGCCAGGTTTCTGAGAAAGTTCATTCTAATACACTGTTTGTATTCTCTGCTGCAGGAAGGTTGGCTTCTTTGTGTTTCTCTGGTAGACTATAGCATAGTGTATCACTGAGCTGAACAGAAAGTGTTTCCTTGACATGTGAATGAGGAGAATGGCGAGATCTGGATTTTCATCTCCACTCCTTGTTTTATGATGTGGTCTCTTAGAAGGCGACCTGCTCCTCGTTTCTTGCTGGGTTTTTCCCCACCTGAGAGCAGTTGTTGTGCAGATGGCTTGCTTTGTCTAGGGCTGCCGCAAAACCACAAACAGTATTTCTGGAATGGGCAGAGAAGGTCTAGTCGGTGGCCTGTCTTGGGAGTGCATTGGGCTAAAGCTGAAGAGAAGACCAGCATTTATTTGGGAGTGGTAGAAGTTTTTACATTAATAGGTAAGTGCTAATTTAAGTCAAGACACCAAGTAAAATGTTTACAAAGAAATTTAAGTATAAGAGCAATGTGCAGTGTTTCTTGGTTGAAAAGACCTAAAGTAATAAATAAAAGGGAATAGATTGTGCGGGTTGTACTGACAAGCATCAATAGCGTTCCACTAACAAAGTTCAGGCTGGTACACTAACAATTCAGAAGACCTCTTTTTTGTGTAAGCTGTGGTATAGGGGTGTTAAATTGTGAAATTATGTTTTACCACAAAAATAGGAAATTATTTCCACATTATTTATACATAACTATGGTGCAGTGTAGTCTTGCCACCATTGTTTGGTTTTGCTGACAAGTCTGATAGTTTGTTGCCCAACAACTCAGACAGGTTTTTCTTTGTCTCCTTTTAATTCTGTGCAAGGTATTGTTGTAGGTTTGAAACGTTTCCCTTAGTAGATTAGTTAGATACGCAGTGGTGCTTCCTAAATTATAGGGATCTGGGAGTGACTGATCTGGTGCTGCTGTTTAAGTTCAAGCGAGGTGGAGGATCTGGCATTGCAGCTGAAGGCACAGCAGTTTTTTTTGATTCAGCAGAACAATTCCTGTAGCAGAAGCTGCCCCTTGTGACTAATGCAGGCTTGGGATATTTATAGACGTGCATATCCACAGCCCTTCTTCACTCCAGCAGGCAGTCACCCAAACACAAAAGTCTTCTGGAATTAAAGTAAAAGTCAAAATTAAAATTAGTCCAGCAGTTTGGTTCTGACAACACAGTGGAACGCAGGAACACACTGGGTGATGAAATGCTTTCCTTGCAGGGGGAGTGCAACTTTGGAAGCTGTGAATAGATGTACAGTAAGTGGGGAGTTCCTGCTATGTTGTGTAGTCAAAATGTTGTGTTTTCTGTCCAAAATTCATACACTACAATTTCTGATATTTGCGTTGCTGTTCCAGCTGAAGAGGTGGTTGTCTTTGTTCCTCCTGTTCTTGGCCAGGCAGGAGAGGAGAATCTGTGCCTATAGAGGACCTGCTGTAAGCTCTGGTTCATGGGAGCTTATCTGTGCTGCAATTTTCTGCATTTCCATGGCAGAAAAACAGATAGATTTTATTTTTGGTTCCCCTTGTAGGTGAGAATGCTGGTATCTAGCTAGGAGGCATATTGGAACTAGGTTTTTGTTATGTTTCTAGAATAATGTTGCGTTTCTTCTTTGAAAATGACCAGCATTGTATTTCTTTTACTGGTATTTCATGACAGATCCTTGTAGATGTAACTTAATTCTGAGACTGAAATGGTAAACTTATTCCAAACAAAACATGAAAAGTTAAAGTTCTGTTGAATCGTGTAAGAATACTTTATAATCTCTGTAACAGATACTTTAAAAAACTGAATGAGAACATTATATGGAGCCTAAAAGGCACATTTTTTTTGAAGATCCACATTTTTTGAAGCTTTGTTTCTGCCATGTTCACTAGGGTTTTGGTTTTTTTTTTTTAGAAAAAAATGAAACTTGCATACAGGTTCTATTTTTTTATCTATATATATTTACTGTCTTCAGTTACAGGGCTCAAAGTATAATGTTACTGGATTTTTACACAAGTAGTTGACTGTCCTCAGTTTAAAAATTCTGCCTTGTGAAGGATTTCTTGCTTTCAAGCAAACAATGCGAACTAAACTTTCATCCTTGTTAAGTTCTAATGCATTGAAACATGATTAGTTTCAGATCGTTATCTAAAACTAGTTTCAAGTATTAAGCGTTTCCCACTGATGTTTTGATTCATGGAATAATCTTTTTCTCTTTTTTTTTTTTTTTTTAAAAAAACAACACCCAAAACCTAAAAGAACTTTGTGCCGCTGTTTTGATCATTGATCCGTGCCCTTTTCCCACCGAGGCAGTAAGAGAGCACTGCGCTGGACGCTGAAGTTTTGAACTCTGCTGGTGCTGACAGAAAAGCTGTAGATGAAGTTTTAAAGCTTTTCCAATTTCTTCTTGTTGGGCTTCTGTGTTAGTTCGTAGATGGCTTTTATGAAGCCTGCCAACTTGCTTCTGCGGTAAGACCGCAATATGGCTGAGCATCGTTGTGGTAAAACCGTTGGGTTTAAGGCAGAGATTGAATATAGCTTATCAAAATTATTTGTGTGCTGTCCGTTTTCTGATGGAAGCCTTGTCATTTGACTGGGCATGCATCCATCTCCGGCATTGTGGTCCTGTGTCCTAGTCAAGTATAGTGTGTGTGTCCCGTGAATTATATGATCAGAGGCTGCTTGTTTTGGATGCCCCTTTTGTTGTGGTGGGTGACACCTGGGTTTTACCAGTTTGGGTTCCTCACATGAGGAATCCAAAGTTATGGCCTGATTTGCACGTGTGCTCCTGCCAAGTAAGTGTATTTATTGCCATGTTGAGGACTGTCTGTTTTGCTCAGGTGAAGGAACTGTGGCGGTGATGTGGTGTGGAGAGGTGCAGCCGGTGGCTTTTTGAGAAACTCAAGCTGTGTCTTGGGCCAAAGGACTGAGGTCTGCTCACCCTTTCTTTGCACTGTTCATGTGTTCGTTTAAATGCATCGGATATATGCTTTTGGGGTAATACTTTTACGCAGAGATCGTGGAGGTTCATCTTTTGTTGGGAAGTTGAGTAGGCTGAGAAAATGGGAGTACCTCTCTGTATCCGATCTTGTGACAGTGGAAAGGATTGGCTCCTGTGTTACAGATAAAATGGATTGATTCTCCTAAAGAAACCATGGATAGCACACCAGAGGGCCACTGTGCCTTATAGAATTATAGTGGACAATAAAATTAAAACTAAAGGGTTTTTCTTAGTGAGTAGCAAGCTATGCTTTACTTTGTCAGTGTTTCGGGGTTTGTTTTTTTTTTTTTGAGTTTTGGCAGAAGAGAACAGGTTTTTCTTGCCTTGAAAACTCTGTTGGAGCAGCTTGATATGTAGATAGCTTGCAGTCTGACTTGTAGCTCACATGCTCCTTGTTATTTTTTTCCCCCAAAACCAGATTATTTGGGTAGACATAGACAAATTGGGGAAGAATGTAATATTTTTTATTTATTTTATTTAATTTATATTTAATTTAAATATATTTCTCTTATATGAATTTAATATTTCAGTTAGGAAATCAAGAGCTGAGATAGTATGTAAGAAATGCATATAAGAAAGGAGTTTCACAAGAGAAAGTTGCATTATTTGCAGAGTAGTTACATGAACGTATTTGGTGTAAGAATTTCAGGTTCTGTTACTCAAAATTAAACATGAGGTAGAAGGTATCAGGATACGTTTCTAGTAGCAGAGGAGAAGGAATCTGTAACTTTTGGCTCCCACAAATTTTTATAGTACTGTTTTTTCTTGAGGAAAGGAGGTAGAAAATGGAACACTGTTGCTGGGTTATTTTTAAGCTGGTTAGCTGGCTGTAGTGTAGATGGCTAACTACAGCAGCACACATCGCAGCATAGACTTGGTGCCACCATACCCCAGTATGCTTTGGACTCTTTTTAATGCAAAAAGTGAACTGGGATTCAAGTGCGTTGCTGAATAGCTTCTAAACCTCAGAAGTTAAGTGTCCTGGTTATGAACTGGACTCAATCTCTTCTGATACGGATAGAAGATAAGCAGATTGTCTTCTTTCCTTCATTGTCTATTGGCTGCTGTATACAGGTAGGAGATCTTTCAAATAATCTTAGATTTATCTGAGGTGAAGCGAGGCTGGAAGCAGTCACCCCCAAATTTTACTTCATTAGTGAATTTATTAAAGTTATTTTTTCTTTAATCACCTTTTTTTTCCCACAAAGGAATGTCGTTTTAGGTGAAAGGAGGACTTAGTCTAGAGCAGCTGAACTCAAGATATCACCAAGAATTAGATATCTGAGCATTTTGACTGTTAAAACCCGTATAGCTATGAAAGCTTCCTACGTATTTTTATTGACAGAAAGAGCCTGTGATGGATATTAGGGGTCTGTATCTTTTTCTAGACTACAGTAACTGTGGCTTATAAGCATGGATGCTTTAATCTTAGACTAGTTAGCTGCATATATTGCAAGTGGTGTAGTATAGTAGCAAGGACCTTAGGACAGATTAACTTCTGGAGTATATATCCAGCAACGCAGGTGGGTTTTGCAGCCTGTGAAGAGCTGTGTGCAATTGTAGCTGTAAAGCTATCAATCCTAGGTGCCTTGAGTTGTCTAGATGAATTATAATTACAGCAGTGATCCCAGTGGGCATATATTCTGTTTTAATACAGAAATTTGCTTCAGCTATGAGAAGAATATGTTCAGTGTACAAAACTAAGTTACTACTTGTATGTCAGTTTTCAGGGAGTGAGTTTTTTCCCTGATGATGTGGAATTAAGGAGGGTCCATTTGTCAACTTCAAGTAATTGACTCATATGACCTTGGGCAAGTTACTCATCCACCTTGAGCTTCAGTTTTCCAACTTGGAATATTAAGTAAACAATGGGAAACTTGCTGAAAGCCCTAATGTTGTGGTTGAGTTGAGGCTTCCTTGCTTTCTGTTGTTTTGCCTTTTTACTAAACAAGTAAATGTCCATTATTCTTTGAAGGAGGCCTTTGAAAAATTCACTATAGATCTGCTACTCCAAGCTGTAGACCTAGTGTTCAAATTAAGAGGATTCAAGTTCCAGCCTCATCTCCAAATGTACGCCTCACCTTGTCCTACTAGGTCTTCTGCTGATCTCACTATTCTGCTGCTATTTCTGTGAACAGTCTAGAAGATCATAGAGTCCTGAGAAGCTGCAGTCTGTCCCTCAGATAAAAATAAGATTTTGCTGCTACCTATGCAAGCATTAAACAAATAGTGTTTTTTTCCAAAGATCAGCTAACCGTAGACTGTTAAAAAAAAAAATTAACTGTGAGCCAGTCCTCCTGTCCTTCAGTCAAAGAATGCTGTTGCCCAGGCAAGTGCTGTAAAATTCTTATTTATGCTAGCTTTACCTATGACCTCATGCTTGAGCGCTGAGATCTTGAGGTTTTCCCGTTTGTTCTTGGATGAGACAGTTTTCTCCAAGGGTTACTGGACTGCGTTGTGGAGACTGCAAGCAGTATGAAAATAAGATACTTATCCTGAGGTTTGTTTAATGAGCTGCTTTTCTGCCAGCTGAGAGAAATGTTGTTGAGCGAACCACGCTTCAGGTGGGTGGCTTTTTGTGGGGATTCTCCTTGTGTGTCCTGCTGAGATGTTCAAAGGCATCTCATACAGGTCAGGGGAGCTGATGAGAGCTTTCCCTCTTCAAGCGCACTGCTCCAGTCTCTGACCTACAGGTTTGGTCTGCGTTGGTGTAGGGTTCCCAGCACAACCAAAGCACAGCTTTTTTTACAGAATGCATCTGAGGGAAGGAAAAGTTTACAATCATCCCTGATGTGTGCATGAATTCTGTTTACGGATGGTTTTGAGGTCAATGGAAAGAACTTTGTATTTGAAAGAAAGCTGCCAGGAAAGAGAAGTTGAACAAAGGCTCTCAAAATCTGGTTGTAAAACCGTTGCTGTACCCTCTGGTTGCTTCTAGGTGGCACTACAAGAAAAAGAATATGTGCATTCACTAGATAGAAGCCAACTGTTGAGCTGGTTGGGGCTCTGGTGGTCATAGTGCAGAGAGGAGCAGCTGACAAATACCGTAGGAGAAAGGAGGAGAGGAATGAACTTACTCTGCTGTGATAGAATTGACTCAACTCTGAATTGCATTTTACATAAGTGTCAATCAGTGATCGCCTAGTGACAAACTGGTTTTGCTTTGGTGCCGAAAACGTGATTGTGTGCAAAATTTCTTCCCCAAAAATCCTGATCACAGGAGAAATGGTTCTCTCTTTCTCTAACTATTTAAATGTGAGACTGCTTTATGAAGCAGTCTTGCAGAACAATAACACTGTATGTATGCAGGCCACATAAAATACAGGGGTTTATTCTTATCTAAAATTTGAATCTTAACATTCTTCAATATTTTTTCATTTTAAATAGGAAAACCCCAATATATTCAAGTTCAGAACCATTTCTCAGCTTCTTGTTGTCCAAGTATATGGCAGCTTTTGGGTTTGTTTGAAGGAGGGGGCTCTCAGATAGTACACATTTTTGTAAGTTTACCCTGAGAGATCATAGTAAGGCAGTAACATCGTGTGATGGCTTGTAAAACAAATTTTATCAATGCAAAGAGGTAACTTTTTTTAACCTTTTTTCCTAAAATGTTTTATTCAGAGCTAGACAATGTTCTGCTAAGAAATAAATTCCTGATCTGTGAAACAAAATGAAGTAACCAAAACCTTCCTTTTTTTCAGCAGCTCCATGAGACTGTGAAAAGAAAGCTTGATAGTGCTGCTTCCCCTCAGAATGGAGACCAGCAGAATGGCTATGATGATGTATTTTCTGTGTCTAAGAAACTACGTCGAGATGATGGTCTTGGTGGAGTGGGTGGTTCTTCCAATGGAATGCCCCCTGTGTCTCCACTCCATCATATTGACAAGAAATCTGGCAGCGGAGATACCTTACAGCTTAATGGGAAACATCCGATGGGGCTAGACGGCATCAGCAAGAAGTGTCTTCCAGATTCCAGCCTGCAAATGAATGGAGGTGGTGATGCTGATGACTCATTTCCTCTGAGTTTGAACAAAGAGCTGAAGCAGGAGCCTGTAGATGATCTTCCATGTATGATTGCTGGAGCAGGGGGTTCTATATCTCAGAATAACTTGATGCCTGATCTTAATCTTAATGAGCAAGAATGGAAGGAACTTATTGAGGAGCTTAATAGATCAGTGCCTGATGAAGACATGAAGGATCTCTTTAATGAAGACTTTGAAGAGAAAAAAGATGCGGATTCTTCAAATTCAGCTGCACAGACCCCATTGCCACAAGATATTAACATAAAGACTGAGTTTTCCCCAGCACCCTTTGAACAGGAACAGATGGGATCTCCCCAGGTGAGATCCACTTCATCAGGTTCAGCATTTATTGGTGCTGCTTCTGTACCTGTAAGTGCCGCTTCTCCAGCGGTTGGTAATTCTCAGGCTCTGTTTCAGCCTTCCAGTCAGTCAATGACTGAAAATCCTAATCAGCCCATGATGCAGGCATCAAACCACTCTCAGAACGTCCAGAGGCCTCTTCCCAATGTGTTGTTACCTGGGAAGGGTGCAGGAAGTGCCAAAGAAATGTCTTCTGCTCATCAGCTTCAGCAGATTGCTGCCAAGCAGAAGAGAGACCAGATGTTGCAGAACCAGCAGCAAGCTTCACAAGTCCACCAAACAAATCAGATGTCGACGTGGCCGCAGTCCGGGCCTTCTCATAGTCCACTGGCTGTCTCATATACCATGGAGAATCCCACCAGCCCGTCTGTTTACCAGCCAGACTTCAACAATCAGAAACTCATGATGCCTAATATGGGAAATAAAAGCTCACCGAGAGCTGGAGGCAATTACCATGTGAACATTTTGGGTCATCAGCAAAATAGCTTGAACCAGAACCCTGTGAGTAGTCAAGGCTCTATGCTAGACTATGGGAACACCAAACCTCTTTCACATTACAAAGCAGAATGTGAACAGGGGGTTACAGTACCTGGTCAGAGCAAGACTCCCATGTTGGCATACATACAACAGCGCCAGCAGCCACCGCTGTCTCACGTGAGCGATGACCAAAATGGGATGATCCTGTTGAAACCCAAGTCTGGAAACATTGCCTACCGGCTACCGCACAGTCAGGTGAATGTTCTGGGTTTTGCTCACCTTTGGTTAGCAGCAGATTTGGGGTTTTGCAGGAGGGTGTTGATAGGTGAGGCTAGAGTACAGATTACTTGGTATTGTTTCAAAACAGTTGCCACATGATTTTAAAGAAGAAAGTGATAATATGCAATAAGCTGTGACAGGAATCAAGGACTCTGGTTTCCACTGGGGACAGTTTTTAACACTCGGTTCTAGGTTGTGTGGTAATGTGATTTCCAGCTTACTATACTTTGTGGGCAACAAGTTATGTCACGCTTCATAGAAGCTTCTACTTACAAAGATAAATAGATGCTTTGTAAACTTTTACCAAAAATAACTCATGTAAAACTGTACTGTTAAACAGTGTTCTCAAAGAAGCTTTCTTTCTTTACCTTCTTTTTGGTCCCTACTTGTCTCAGAGTTGGCTTACTATAAAAAGTCATGCCTTCAGATGCTTATTTTTTTGAAGAGAGAGGAAAGTGGGGGCTGTATTCCTGATTTCTTGGGTGTTCCTTGGGGCTTTTCAAATATAAGAATTTGTTATTGGTTAAGTCTCTGGGGATTGGGGAAGCATAGGATAAGAGAGAAATTTATCTTCAAAAATAAGCAATAGTAGTATTTGTCTGCTTGAAGCGATACGCTTCAGGTTTTCCTGTAAAGGAAAATTCTAGATGGTGCTTCTTTGCTTTATATATAACTGATACTACAGGTATGCTGCACATGAAAATTTATATAGTGGATGGAGGTATAGACTTGTTGGGATTTTGTAAAGTCCTTGCAATGCCCATACTAGAGGGCTTGTTGAGAAAAAAGATCTTTATTATAAGTATTAAAGCTCCCTTAGCAAAAGGTGTTGGGAGATCCAACTCTAGGAATATGTTCCCTCAACAAAGCAAAAAACCTGTGGAAAAGATCTGATTAGTCTGTGATAAAGACCACACTGATACAGAAATAAAAATCTGAGATCAGATTTTTGGGTGCTTCATAAAGCACAAAAAATGTGATCTCTTTAAAACTAGCAGAAGGAAGAATCTAAGGACATTTTGATGGAAGGAGGAGGAGAAGGGTAGAGATGATTGTGTATGTCACGTCTCCCCCATGCTGAATAACACGAGGGTGACCTTGCAACTGCACTGCTACGCTTGCTCTGAATTAACAGAAATACTGATGAATGCTTCTGCAGAATTTCTCAAAAGCTTGCGTACAGAACAACTCAGCACAGCATTGCCTATATTTGGCTCATGATTTCTTAGGAAACTGTAGAGAGCGAGAACCAACAGCCGAACCCATTAGCTGAATTCTAAACTTGAAAGTGGTGTTTGTTTGCGTAATTAGAGATGAGGCCGAACTGTGCTTAAAAATGGTAGAAACTGTCAAATTTCAAATAGATTGGCCAGTGCAAAGAAGACGGTATCAGATCTTGAGTGGTAATCATTCTGTGTTATTTTTTCTTATCCCAAGTTGCAATCTCTGGAAAAAAAGCAGACTTAGGAAAAATTAATAACAGGCTTGTCTGTAGTAGCGTTTTTCTCTGTGGAATATGATGATGGCTGGATTGCTGGAAAAAGTACATTAAGACTCATTTTGATTGGTGACGGCCTTCTTCCCCTTCACCTGCAAACAGTAAATGCTCTGATACTAAAAAAAAACCCAGCTGTAGGAAGGGAGGCATAAACAGTTGCTGAATTAAATGTTGACAGAAGAAGCAGGATTTAAATAAATGTTTTGTATAATGCAAATTTAAAATGTAGTGTTTGAAAAGCTGCTACCAAAGTAAACTGAAGTGCTGTTTGTAACTGGTGCCATTCCTCTGGCTGAGCAGCAGCACACAGAGCTGTACTCACCTGTTTGAGCCGGACTTTGGGAACCGCTTTGAGACTGAAGTTAAAGCTTCTGTTTCTAAATGTTATGGAGCTTCTGACCTTAACTCCGAACTGTCACTTCTGCGTCTGGCACTTTATAGATGGGTGTTTGGCTGTCTCTAATTAGCTGAACTGGAAACTGCATCACACTTTGTCTTTTCCGTTAGAAGCTTCACAAGTGAAGAAGCTGTTGCATAAAGATGGCAAAATAGAAGGAACTGGTCTGATTTTTATTAAATAGTGTAAATGTACAAATAAGCAGTAACTGACACTTTTGTGTTTGTTTTTTTTTTTTTCCTGAGATGCATTATGATTCCCCTACCTGCATAGACTTTATAAAAAAAGTCTCTTTTCCTTATCCTATAAAATAATAAGAATAATCCAAATCATGGTCGTCACCATGAAAGTGCCTTTCCTCCTCTGTGTAACTACATACGGTTTCTGAATTCCGGCGGGCTGACCTCGTTCTGTAACTCCTGTTGCTTTTTCTGTATCCCGCAGGATCAAACCCCTTCTCCTAACGTTCCTCGCGTTCCAGTTTCTGTCCCGGGCCCTGGCGTGGGTGCCCAGGCTCCCAACGTCTCCATGGCAGGTAACCACAGCAGCACACCTTATCTCAGCAATCAGCAGCAAGCAGCAGTGATGAAGCAACACCAAATGCTCATGGACCAGCAGAAGCAGAGGGAGCAGCAACAAAAGCACTTGCTCATGGAGCAACAGAAGCAGCAATTCCTAATGGAGCAGAGGCAGCAACATCTTCTGGCTGAGCAGGTGAGAGGGGCCAGCAGTCTTTTTTTTCCTTTGTGCTGATTTTCTTTGAATGAAACAGCATTTGAGATTTTGTTGAAAAGTTATCACATTACAAAATAGGAGATGTTAAACTACAAGGTGCTTTCATGTCATAATTGCTGGTTTATGTTTCTATAAAAGTAACTCAAACACGTAGCACTTGATTGCTGAGACTGACTTTTTCTGTTGTTACAAGGCACTGTGGTGAATGAAAAGAATAAAATAGGTAGAATTGAGTAGTGCAAAAATACAAGACAATACCTACAGGGAGAGAACACGTCCATCCAGCAGTGGTGTAATTCTTTGTGAAAGAAGAAAGGCCAATGGAATCTGAGCAGAAACAAAAGATAAGGTTGGGATACTGTTGATGTGTTCTGTAGAGCTTTAAAAATGGAAGCAATGAGCAAGGGACTCTGTAATGTAAGTTCATTGTGCCTTCTGTCTTCCTTCCCTGTGAGATCCCCAGCATTTCTTGTTTAAATGTTAAAACGTCTTCCACTAGTGTATTTGGGGAAAATAGACATCTGCATCCAACTTGCATCTTACCCTGCCAAAAGAATTTAACTCTGCTGTCCAGGAGACTGCAGAAAGCTGCTTTTGCCTCTGTCAGGGCAACGGACTCCTTGTGTGAACCTTGCTAAGCTTTAAACATTTTGGAAGTCTTTCATGTGGGAATCAGCCCAAAGGGCCTTATTCCTGTCATCAGTGCTTTTCTGCATTTTTAAAAGTCCATGCAGGCATATTCCAAGCACTGGCACTGTACATGCAGAGAAATTATCAATTGAGGAAGGGAATGACGAATTTTCGAAGAAGGTTTGAGATCCAGGCAGAACCTGGTATTCAGATCTTCTGGAAAAAAGTGTGATGGTCTGTACTGCTGAAAAGTTTTGTCTTTGAAGGTAATGGGGGGAGGGAAAAGCCATGGAAACTGTTGTCTTTGGGGATAATGGAAAAAAAAGGAGCAAGTGGTTTAATGGAAAATAAAGTGAACTGCATCTATCCCTGAGAATTAAAAAAAAAATAATAAAAAAATTAAATGCTCTGGAGTCCTTAAACTAATAACAGTTGGGAATGGGTAATTTCCTTAATTTTCAGTGCTGTTAGAAGCTGATAAATCTCAGTGATTTCTAACTTTAAAGTTGGCAGTTGTTATCCTGGTAGGTAGTATTTTCGTTGTAATAATAGTTTAGAAATAGAGGAGATGAGAGAAGGTCGGGTAGTGGTTGTGTGAGGGGAACACCTTAGCTTCTATTGCAGCGACCATCCATCAGAAGAAACAGGAAAACTGTACAGTCTCCTCTGAACTGAAAACATGTGAAAGCCCATTTTGAGGGGAAGGGTGTAGTAGAATCTGCAGTGCTGTGGAGCTATGGCTGCGCCAAGTCCTAGCGGATGGCTTTTTCTGATCACCTAGAGTCTTCGTTAAAATTGAGGAGTAGATTGAGGTGACAAAAAAGCCCTTTCAGTTCTTGACCCAGTGTAGATGAAAACATAAGAATGTGGTTGGTGGTGTTTTAAAGTTGTATGAATGTTGGTAAAGATGCGGTTTTGATATTTACCTAAAACCAATTTGGGCTAAGGGAATATTGTGGTGGAAATACACTATCAAAGACTGAAGGCCAAAGAATGCCCAATCATCAATAAAATAATACTTTCCATATGAGTTCTGTGATCTATAAACTTATATAAATAAATTAATACTTTTTAGTAAATCATTCTGGTTTTGATGAGTTGTATGTTAATACCAAATGTAAAAAATTACTAATTTTTGCTCTCCCAAAATCTTAACAAACAGGTGCTCCTTGAAAGTAGGTGGGAAGAAAGGAAACAGGAGCTGTTGGCAACCTGCTTGTACTTTTGTACCCCTGGTGAACGGCGATTATTAGAGCTGTGACCCAGTGGGTTTCCTTAGCTAAGTAATGGACCTAACCTGTGTCAGACCTCTCTGAACAGTGTGTGGGGGATATATTAACAGAGTGAGAAGTAGAGCATCTCAAGCACAGTGTTGAAATATTTTTTTTTCCTACCTATTTGCTTCTGCTTAGCCAGCACATGTTGTGGTAGTAAATATACATGTATTGAAAATATTTTATTCCTGTCCTGGTGTGGTGACTGCAACTAACTTGTACAGCTTGCATCTTTGTGTAGTGATACTGGGACTCTGGTCCTGAGTAAGGAGCAGCTTTGCTATGGAGCTGAACAGACTTAGATACTGTGTTTGCTGCATTTCTTGGCCTTGTGCTGCCCAGTCAAGCTAGGTCTTGTTCGCATTCTGATTTGATACTTAGTTCTTTGGATGCACGTGGTACTGGATGTAGTTTCACAAAAAGATTTCTGAATCAGTTGACCTCTGTTTTGCAGGAGAATTATAGTCTCAGGTAGCTTCAGCGCCATTCCCTGCCACTCTGAAGCTGTCTTTGCGCTTGGTATTCTGCATCTTTTCTTGTCGCTGTTTTTTTTTTTCTGAGCCAGGTTTTGCACCTCTTAGTTTCTCTCAGAACTATGACATCTCTTCTTGGCTTCTGTGGTCAGCCTCTTTCAGGTTTGACTGGTCCTGCAAGCAGCAGGTCCTTTCTGTCAAGCAGCCTGCTCTCTTCATTCCTCTGCGTGTCTCAACAGCTTCTTAGTTGTAGATGTTTCAGAGGGATGGTAGTAATGTGTGTCTGCCTATTTGTTACATTGATCTGGTCCCTTCTTTAAAGGCTCGTTGCTCGTGCCTTTACCCCAGTACTCTTGGATGGCAATTGCTGTCCCCTTCTGTGCTCTGTGTACCTTGTCAGATAAGTAGTTGTGCATTGTGTCAGTACTTAGTTATCCCAGAATTTCAGTCTGGTTGAAGATATCTGTGGAAGAAGAGCCAGAAATGCTGTGCCTGTTATGTTTCATATTGTAAAAGCAGCCTGCTGTCTATGCTGTCAAGATCTCTGAGAGTATTGTTAGTGCATGTACATATGCTCTCCACATTCCCCTCAAGGCTTTAAATTTCATTTTCCCCAAAAGTTTCCAAATAGAAAATTTGTTTGTTTCATATTTCAAATGGCTTCATCATACAGTAGGTATGGGTTGAATGTGCTTTTGAAGAGGCAGGGTTATTTTTGAAGCATTAGTAAGGCTTATTTCAATTGGTTGGTGCATTGTTGAGAAAACGGTTTTGAACAATGGTTACAAAACAAGCCTCTGTTACGAGCTTAGCTATGCAGTTTTCCATAATCTTCTAGGAGAACCTGTGGTATGTAATAATTGGGATTTGTGTATATTTTTTTTTTAATTTTTGAAAACAAGGGCTAGGAAATATTTCCATGTTCAATTTTTACTTTTCTGTGTAATATTGTTGATATTTAATTTTCATTTCATATCTAGAGGGGTCTAAAATAAATTCATCTGGGGGTAAAGAGCAAAAAAGTATGTGTGAATTTTTTATATACACTCACTTTTGCTCTTTTTGTGCCTGTGTCTTTAGAGTCTTGCTAAACATGCCTGTTGATTTTTACTGATTAAAAGGCTAACATCTCAGATTTTCAGTGTTTTAAAGTCTTCAGACATGCCTTGCAGTAGCTCCTGTAATGCATGCTGTTGTCTCCGATTTCCTAGTCTTGACGCTCATCTGAACAGATTGACTGTGTTTGAACCTTGAGAACTTAGGTCTGAAGTGACTTCAAGGCTCTAGAAGCCCCTTTAATGACCAGCTTCTCAGAGGAGTGTGGAGATAGCTTGTGTTTATCCCAGATAGTCACCCTTGGGAAAAGCTTGGCTTGTTTTCTAATTGTCTTGCATTGGACCTTTCTTAGGAGAAACAGCGGCAGCAGCAAGAGCAACAGCTGCAGCGGCATCTGACACGACCGCCTCCCCAGTATCAGGATCAGCCGCAGAATCCCTACCAGCCACAGGTTGGACAGTTCGCAGGTAAGCAAACATGGCAATTGAAATAATGGCAGAAGAAATACCAGGAGTAAAAAACAAGTAAAAATGCCTTCACATTTCCTGGATTGGATAGCTTTTAATTAACTTATTACAACATCTTCCCACGTCACTGCCTTAACTTTTAGACCTGTACTTTGATTCAGTTGCAAATTATCAGCTTCTCCTGACCTGGATATCTGGGACAACTTAAGCTTCTGATTCTTAACATTGCTGTGGAAATGGGAAAAATTCTTAAGTACCTTCATTGTTCTAAAAGCCTTTTTATACTATCATTTCCCTTTACAGGTTGTAAATTCCCCGTAACTTTCATGTATTAGGATTCAGGGTTGTTTCCTGAAGCCTAACATCACTACTGCTTGTGTCTATCACAGCCCTCATTAAATAAGTGATGTATTATTTCTCCCATTTACTATGATGAGTTTAAAATTCTCTAATACTCTTACCCTGCTACCTTCAGAAGGGAATGCAATTTGAATTCTCTTCATTACATATTAGTGTCCTACATGTCGGTTTTATTTTGTACGAGAAGCAGGTTGGCATGTCTTCAGCGTATTAAAGCTGATGAATAAAAGATGTTGTTACCGTTAAGCTGAAATAGCTTCCTGAATGTGGAAGAACTAGAGAACAGTAAAAACTCTTCTCTTTACCTGAAAAATCCTGTCAGGGCATCAAGAAACTACTTGTCTTTTTTCATAAACTGAGTGTACAAAAAAGTGCTTATTCCCATCAGTTTATTTCCTTACTCTGTGTTCCCACAGAAATAAATACTGGAGGGAAAAGTTGCAAATAGAAATGTGATCCCCTCATGCTGACAGTGTTTGTGCCTATGCCGTGTCAGTAGAGCTGTGGCTGGGGTTTGTGACTTACCTGAAGAAACCTGTTTCCAACACAACAGGATTGCGTGTGAACACAGTGATCGGTAGCATCCTTCGAATATTGCACTGAAACACTTTTTTTCTCCTGCCACTTCAGTACAGAAATACAGCAGTACACCTGTTAGTGTGATTTGCTGTAGTGAACATCAGTATTATTAAAACTACTTTTTCCTTGTTATGCTGATTGTAACTATTTTTTGCATCTTAAGTCCTGGTATGTGTACTGCCGCTTCACCGTAGTGTTCTAGTAAGACTCTTCCCCCACCCATCCACCCTCTTGTGACATTGGTGTTTTTGTGGTGTGCTTTGTTGATAATTAATGCAATATGATTTGAATTATATTTGAATATATTTGAATAAAATTATATTTGACTAAAAATTGAATTAGTAATAATGGAGAGCCAATATTCCTCAGCTATCTTAAAATATGAAAAAACTGCAGCTTACTTTTTGGGTTGAAAGTACTAGTGTAGGTAGGTTTCCCTTGGTCTACTGTAAGAAGTGAGGGTGATAATACGCATTACATGTCACATACGCTTCACAGTGCTTTTCTGTTCTTTTTTATTTTTTTTGCTTTAAGTAGGAGGCTGTTTATTCTCCAAGAAGAAACTTTTTTTTACTCATGAACAAAGGACTACTTTTGGTTTGGTGAAAAGTCTTATTTTTGGCAAATAGTCTTGCTTGGTTATTAGCACTGCATATTGCCATAGCGAGTATTTCACTGTGGAAATCCAAAAGATGCTTTACCAAAAATTTCTGAATGTGCTGTAAAATAGAGGAAACTTCTGGAATTGGGAAAACACAGGACTGGAAACCCTACAGTTGTACAAAAAGAGATATACAGTGTATGCATGGAATAACTGACAGTGCGTCTGTGCAGTAAGTGGTGTTCTTTCAACAGCCTAGCAAATTGTGCATGCACTTCAAAGTGCGTGTATATACCTCTGTTCACAAAGAAATATCAGGGCCCTGCCTTTAAAGTCTTTATTTTTTTAAAATTGATGATGCTGAACTCTTAGAAGTGGTATTCAGATTTTTTAGGACATTGGCATATCTGTGTTTGCGATCAAGGTGGAGGTGCTAAGTGGAGCAACACCTGACACTCTTTAATTAAAGTACTGGTGTCTGCGTGTTGAATGCATGGGTTGGTTTCTACAAATGCAGCTGCACCTCCGTTCTGGATTATAGCGTCTACAAGCCCAGCTTGGCTCTGGTTGAACCGAGGTATTTAATGTACAAAATATTTCTTTGTATTTCAGGGTCATCTTCAGCCATGCCTGGGGTCAGCAATTTAGGACAGTCCAGCTCCAGTAGTCCACGGATGTTTCCTCAGACCCAGAACATGATTCAGATGGGACCTGGACACAGTTCTGTTCCTCCACTCCAGTCGGGTTCCAGTCAGCAGGATCGGGGCGTGACTCAGTATACCAATATGCAAAACATTCAGCGAGGGGGATTGTACAACTTGGCGCCTGGTATGACACCCATGGTTGCCCAGCACACCGCTCCAAGTGCCAATGGACAGCCCCCCATGCAGAGACAAGGCAGCTTGGGCCAGGGCGCTGCTGTTCCTGCTGGCTACGGGCAGAATAGCTTGGCAAACTCGAGTATTTCTCAGCAGCACAACAAAGGTGCACTGAACCCAACCTTGTCGAAGCCACAGATGGCAAGAGTACCAGCTGCTATGGGGGCTCAAAACCCGTCTTGGCAACACCAAGGTATCCCTAATATCAACAACCAGACCCAAGCAAACAGTGGCTTAGGACCATTTACTGCCAGCTCCTCTTTCCACATGCAGCAAACTCATCTAAAGATGGCCAACCAGCAGTTTGCCCAAGGAATGCCTCAGGTAAGCCTAAGCACCAGCAGACCGATGACCTCTATGAACGCTGCCGTCTCCGGGCAGATGTTGTCGTCCTCTTTAGGTGCGCAGCAGCGGACAAACCCACCCACGCAACAGCAGGTACCCTCACAGCAAGTCTTGCCTGGCATGAACCAAACTGTTCCAGATCTGAATGCTTTCAGCCAGAACCCAAATCAGCAAATGCCCAACCGAGGTAATCTGCACTGTAGTCAAGGGTACCCTGTGAGGACAACCAGTCAAGAGCTGCCTTTTGCCTACAGCGGCCAGTCGGGCAATAACGGACTTCAGAACTTAACGGGCGACACAGATCTGATAGACTCTTTGCTGAAAAACAGGACTTCAGAGGAGTGGATGAATGATTTGGATGAGTTGTTAGGAACACATTAAAATGGGGCTGGGGGTGGGGGTTCTACTTTTTTAATTATTTCATGAAATATAAACAACACTTGGACCAAAAAACCTGTGGCATTGAGGAGACTTGCAGGCATTAGAGGTAAATGGTTGGGAAAGGGACTGGAGCTGCTTCTCAATGAGTGTTGATACATGGTAATGGCGCACCAAGCAGGTCTGCAGGAGTAGTGCGCTTTATCTTGGTGTCTCTAAGGAGTCGCACACTTGAACAGGTCAAAAACCATCGTGCATGTCCTAGCCAGCCTTTCAGAAATCTCACTTGCAGTGTTCTAAAATTAAATTTTTTAATTATTTAAAAATAAAACTAAATTCCACAGAAATAGTGCGGAAAGAAGGCAAATAGTTGCACAAGTCGTGTTTAGGGCCTAGTCTCCTGCAGCTATTCCTTGCAATGGTTATTTGTTCATAGCTTGACATGCTGTTATAGTACTGTCCATCAAACTTCTGACTTTTTATTTAAAGAAGAGGCTGTATGCACCTGAGTACGCTTGCAAAATGTTTTGAGTTGTTCCTTTTCCCCATCGCTGAAGCATGTGCCTGTATTCTCAATAAGCAAGTGATATTTCACAGTAAATATTTCTAGATGCTGGTAATAGATGAAAGAAAGTATTAAAATCTGGCCAGTTAGTCTAGGTAGTTGTCTTAATAGATTGTAGTCTTTTAAGCTGCAGTTTGCACTCTGTTGTAGAGAGGCACAGTTCTTGGCTTGTACCTTGCTGTGTTTAAAGGGGGAATTTCTTATGGGAGAACTTTTAAACTATAGTAGGTTTAACATGAATTGTAAAGCCATTTACTTTGCACCTGTTTCTTCATAACTTATTTCCAAAGGTAGTTGTATTTAAATGAAGGCTTTGCTTCATGACAGCTCATCTAGTTTTCTTTGTTGTAAAAAGTAAAACTAACTTTTGAGATCAGTTCGTTCCCCAAAGTTAGCAATGATGCAGTGAGCACAAGACTTTGTCACTTCAGGGTGAAAATGAGAAAAAAAGAATTTGGCTGAGAGGTGGAAAGTCCGTATCAGCAATAATAGCACAGGCAGCCTGGGAGAGTACTTGTATCAGGGTTGCTCCAATATGGAAGTCTCCCCCTTTAAATACTTTTTTTTTTAATACTGGGTTATGAGTTTGATAATCTTTCTATAGACTGGTGGATTTACTTCTTTAATATCCTTTGAAGCAGATGCTGGTTCTTCAGCTCAGCCCAAGGAGACCTCTTATCCGTATGTTAGGGTCAGTCCCAGAAAGGACAAAAACCACAATGGGAACAGTCAGTGTTCCAAAGTCCTTACTTTCTACCAAAAAAATCCCCTATCCACCAACAAACCACCTTGCCTTAACCTTTATTTTAAAATTAAAATAAAGTTGAAAGCTTTTGTTTTAAATGCACAAATACCTCCTCCCTTTTAAATCCACTTTTTTGGAAGGCTTCTTTAAACTTTCTAATCAAACCCAGCATTGTGATTTAAAAAGCAATTTCCTTCAACACAGACTGGCTTCTTCAGGAGTTTTCTGCACTGCAGAGATACATGAGAGAGGGTTTTTTCGGAGTGGGTGAAGGGAAGTGAAGGATAACATTGATTTCAAAGAAGGAAAATGTTTTACTGTATCTGCAGCTCCTTTATGAGACAATTTGCACTTTTAAAAACTGCTTTTTAACACTAATACTTTAACCCTTTCCAAATATGCATGGAACATGGTTTGTCCAGCACACTTAACTAGTGTGGATGAATTACGCTCTGTTGAACAGATTGGATATTGTATCACGTCGAACTGTTGGTGAAAGATGTGCGTTGATCAGTGGATCCCACCATTGAATAGTGGATAGAACTTCACTGAAGCAGACATAATCCCTTGTAGAGCTTTTGAAAAGGTAACATAAAGATTGTCTTTGGATAGGAAGATGAAGGTGTTGGTGACTTTGGTTGTTGACACTTCTGATGTTTTCTAGAATAAGTAGTTGAGATGCAAATCACTGATGCTAACTTTTCTTATACTGGCAATCTAAGAGAAGAGCTAGTGAGTTTGGTTTACGATTAAGTTAAACCAAAACTGGTCCAAGGTAAGTGTCATTAGTATAGATTAAACTAGCAATGGCAGGGGAAGGAGTGTTTGCTGTATTTTTATTTTTAAAGGGTTAACTTTGCACCAGTGTGCCTTCCCTTCCTGTTGGGGGTGCTTGGGACCTCATAATTTCAAGTGACATCCTGCAGTGTCACTAGTTTTTTCCACCCCCTTACAAACACTTGAGACAAATAACAGGGTAGTAGGATTCAGCTTTTCTTTCTTCCCTGTTTAGGTTGTGGTGAAATCTGCTTACATTATCCGGTAGATTTTGCACGCAGACTTTGTTCTGAATAAATCAAAATAACAGTCCATCCAGTTGTGATTACTTAACTGGAGGAAAAGAACATCTGCTCTTTGCATTGTTACTACCAAAAAGGCAATCCACCTAAATGTCCAGGAAAATGCAGATGTACTTTTTCCCCCCACTGTTTCTGGAAGCGAAGGTGGATATTGCCCTGCTTGACCAGAGGGTTTGTTCAGGAAGGTGGCTAGACTTGATGACAGGGCCTTTTTGTGGTACTGTTGAACTAGAACTAAAACTAAGCGTGATCTAGGCAGACTGGCTTACAAATGCCCGTCGGTCTTCATACGTGAACAGGATCCAAACAGCGTCTAACCTGACAGAAAAACCAGCCCTCGCTTCTGGTTTTGGTCCCTGTCCGCATAACGCGCTCGGACGGTTGGGAATGCGGTGTCACTGTGACAGAGCTGAAACAGTTCAACGGAATGAGAATCCGGCTTAGATGTCCGTGGGTGCAGGGGTAGGGCTGGGCTTTGCCCTCGGGCCCGTTACCACGCAGCCGTCTGTGTGTGCACTTGGGCTTTCCATTTGCTGCAGCTTCAGAGCAATAAAATGTATCTCCCCTGGACTGCTCCTGGCCAGCCGCCCATGGCTTTATTTATAAACTGCGGTTTTGGTTGGGTAGGAAAGGTGAGAGTGTCACTGTGCAACATCCACTGCCTTCCAAAAACCACCATTCAATTGAAAAGGGTGCTCAAAATTTTGTTATACACATTTCCTTTGTGTAAATAAATGTTTACAATTTTATATTAAAGATTTGAATAAGAGTTAGATCTTCTGACTGTATATTTTTTACTTTTTATAGATTTTAAAACTATAATTCTTTATATATGTGTTTGGGGGGTATTATGGTAAGTTTTATGCTTGTAAATGGAGAACAGTTGAATTTGATGCTAACCTTTATGAATTTTTGTCATTGAAATGTATAAAGAGTCCATTAATCCCCTTATTCTTTTACTACAATTACTGGTGCACACCAAAAAGAAATCCTTCACTTCTGTTTTATCATTATAAAATAAATATTTTGCTAGTGTATTAAACATACATGGTGTGACTTCATACATTTGTGTGAGCTGAGCAGAGTTCAGTGTTGTTGTTCTTGGTGAGATGGTTCCCAACACACAATTCTGGTCAGCCTGTTACAGCAGAAGATTCTGAGACTTAGTGTCTTAACCAATTCTTGCAGTTTCAGAAATTCCATTTAAACAGGCCAGAAGTGGCCAAAGAGGACTTGCAAAACTTCACTTGGAAAACAAAGCTCTAAGCTACACCCACTGCTGCTGGACTTTTTTTTTTTTTCCTGATGCAGTTGTAGGCCCTAATCTGGGAAATACGACTGCAGAGGTGGTTGTTACTAGTGAAAAAGATGTTAATAACTACTGAGACCTCACATGTGCCAAGTTGTAGAGTCACAAAAATATGCTCAGATTCCCTCAAAATAACAAGCCGTAGAGGTTGAAACTGGTTTCCTTGAGACTTGTAAAAAGACAAAGACTATGTTTGTTCGATGTAGGCAGATGGCATATGAAAAGAAAAACTGAGAAATGAGGAACATGTACTGCAAGTGTGAGTTAAGGTTTTTGAACAAGGAACAAAATACTGGCAGCAAGTTGCATAAAGATTCTGGTGTAAAGCTGGCGAGGTCCCTAAGCCACCGCACAGAGCCGGCGGGTTGAAGAGGCTGTGGAAAATAACGGTGAAGTGGGTCTTTTGGGCCCGGCTGGATTGTTGAGCCTCTTCCAATGGACGCTTACTGTGGGTTGGTGAGAAGTAAAGCAATGAGCTGTGGCTCCATCGGTGCCCAGAGGAGCCTGGCTTTGGTGGGGGGTGTGTGGGTGCTAATGTGTCCTTGTTAACAAGTTATTACTTGATTAATTACTCTGAAATGAACATTTCAAAGCAGTCTCTTGGTGAATCATACCACTTGCAGCAGACCCAAGAATTTGGTTTTGTAGTATTTCCTGTTTGTCAAGCGTGCCTTTTTACTGATGAAATGCAGTCTTAACTTCTAAACTAACACCCCAAATCTCCCCAACCACAGATTCGGCAGTAGCGATAAAGGAGAATTTGCAAAGTGTGACGCGTGCGTTTCTCGCCAAGGCCGCATTCATTTCCCATGGTGCTGTAATGCCACGCATCCCCCTGGGTGGCACGAATTGTAATTGGCCTCAGACATCCAAGGATCGTTCCCCGAGCGTTGAGCTGTTGTGTTGAAGACCCCAGCTTGGAGCCTTCCTCACAAAGTGCATCCTGACTTACCGGAGTGTATTTTGAGTCTGTTCCTACTCTGCAAACCTGGAGCTGTGTTTGGGGGAAGGAGGGGACCTGTAACTGCAGAAGCTTGTGAAGAACCAAATGTAATAAGAAGTAACAATACCAGGATGAGCTGCTTCTAGCCTGGGGGGAGCTGTGAAGTTATTACTTTATTGTCCCATTAAAGGTGCTGCATTGTATCTCTTGCTGAGTAAACCAGAAATTTCCCAAACTGTCCCTCGTTGAAGTGCTGTGCACATGCATGTTTTCCCAAAGATTTTAAGGAGTTGGTGACAGCTTGTGACCAACTTCTGCTCAAAAATGGATTTTTCTTTTATTTTTTTTTTCCTTGACACTTGTG